GCACCTCATCAACTCATAAGGAGCCTCCTATACATGCAGCAGATAGTCAAAGTGAACCTTTGAAGCCTCAACCAGAATCCAGAAGTTCACCAACGCCTTCAGATGTAAGTATTTCCCTAATAAGTTGACAGTGAATGGTTGGTGAGTCTATGCCCTAAAATTAATTTATTATCACTCTGTCCAAACACAGGCGAAAGCCAAGTCATTAATTCTTAACAATGCACAGATTCAGTGGGTATTGGGTATTGCAAAAACGATGATATGCAAAGAGCATAATGTGAAAGAGACATTTTATACATGCTCTCTTAAGTTACTTTATCAAGGTAGTCATGATGGTTATAAACCAACAGCTTTCCATAAATGCTGTGATAATCGAGGGCCTACTATTACAGTTATTAGAACCAAGGAAAATGAGATAATTGGAGGATATAACCCCATAAGTTGGGACAAAACACTTGAGAGGTTTACACATACACCTTATAGTTTTCTATTTGCAGTGAAGTCAAGTGGCAATGTTGTAAGTTTTTGTCAAAAACCTGCCACTGCTGTTCGTCATGGCCCAAATTATGGGCCAACTTTTGGTAGTGATTTAGTTGTTCTTGGTGGTTTCACTGGTCCCATCAATTCTACATATCAGCATGCATATGATAAACCTATTAGAGATAGCATTGAAATGTTTGCTGTGAGGGAGATTGAAGTCTTTCAAGTTACTTTTTGCTCCACATGATAACATTGATGTGACTCTTTTTGATATGGATTTTTTTTTTTAATATTATCAGATATAATAATGAGAAAGTTATCAGTATATCTGGTAAGTATCTATTACCAATATTAACATTTTACTTGTGAGTTAAATTTGAAAGACTTAGTATTAGTATTAGTATTAGGCTCAGGTTTGGGAGCAGGGTTCAACCTATCATATGATTTCAAACTGTATTATAATTAAATAACTTAATATTAAAGCAGCATTAGTATATGCAGATCAAATTTCAGATAATATTCTAATTAACTGTATCAGATCAATGAAAAGGAGAAATAAAAAACAATGACAAAATAAAACACTTCGAACGCGTACATCTTACCCAATATGGACTATTTTTGTTTCGCGTTTTTTTTTAATGTTTTGACGTACAGTCAAACCTCGAATAACCGATACTGCTCAAAACCGATAACTCGCAAAACCGATACTTTTTTCAATTCCCGTGCAATTTATATATAATAAAATCCTCGTAAAACCGATATTACATATAGACCTCGCAAACCCGATAAACCGATATTTTTTTGGCAATAGTCATAATAGATTGAGCCTCGATAAACTGATATTATAAAGTAGTACAAATTACCGGAGTAGAATTAAGAATGTGACCTGTTTCTTGCAATTTCATTGGTCAAACAATAACTTTATATTAATACGTACATCCATCTATAATGAAATTGTAAATATCTTAAGTAGTTGAGAAAACTTTAAGCTTCTTTTTTCTGTCATTAGGCGGCAACGTATGCCATATCATCATTATTATTCATTGTTTATCCTTGTCCGGTTCGTCGAGAAGGGAATAGTCTTCAGACATTCTGAATATACGATAAGATATGAAAGCATAAACTTAACCATTTGAGATCCGTACATAGCCAACACAATTTGAGTGTATAGTGTAGCTTCACCCTCTTATACTGTATCTTGTAATATGTTAAAATCAGCTTTAGCAATAATAATAAAGGGTGAAATAGAAAGTCGATATAACAGACCGTCTGTTTCAACTTGGTCATTATCTTTCGCGATATCATGGACTTTTTCTCTGAATGAGATTTTTCTCTAAATAATATCAGGTATAATAATAAACTCACAGAACATCATACAGTGGGTGATCAAAAGTGTTCGTCACTCCTTGAGGTTTCGAGTTCACACTCGTCACTCCTTGAAATTTACTAGTAAAACATATGAAGCTAATTGATTGTGTATCATGTTACACATGATTTTCATACATTTTCATATGTGTAACATGATACAGCTGATAACGGAACTGAACATATCACTATTTTTTTCGAAAAATACAATCAATTAGCTTCACAACGGTACCTAAATCATTGTGATTCACATAGTAAATACGTACAATCGAGATTTTAGAGAAAAAAAAAAGATTTTTCATATGTTTTACTAGTAAATTTCGTGTGCACGTGTCTGATGCAGATCATCTCATACCGATACATCTAGGCTTCGTAACGTTTTGTGATGTAGTTTACGCTTCTGTATTCTCGACATAATTAACCCTAATCACATGTGGAATGTGTGCGAGATGAAGATAAATTTTGATCTAATTAAATGAATATCCTCTTTTGCTCTAGTCAACTCTATTACGATAAACTGTCGGCATTGCAAATAATATTATGCATGGTAGTAACATTCAATTTGCACCAGGATGATAGAATAACAACAAGCCATATTCATGATTTGGATCCGAGAGTAATGAAATATTCGTCCAGACTAACTTCGTAGGTCATATTTAATGCTGCTTAACACTACAAAGATTATCCACCAACTCAAATTGCACTAGACAGGTCACTCAAGATGGCAACCACAACATAATTATTATCACTAAGGATAATCGTTGACAACAATATCAGATGGGAAACTCACGATTATGTGTATTCACTATGTGAGGAGTTGACCATCAGGATTGTAATTTGGATTATAGTAAGAGAGCTTTTTCGTTAAGTGTGGTTTTGAGCATTTTGATTGGAAAATCTCAATTCTCTTTGAAAAAAAGAGACTATCTAACTATGTAAATTCGACAGCCAAAACCTTGGTGCACCCCCAGGGACGCAATATGTTTCTCGGAACGCGCTTTTTGGAGAACAAATTGAAGAGATCGATGATGATATTGTAAATGAGAGAAGGCAGAAGTTGAGCAAACTAGCCACATGTTAATATTAAGGACGATGGTAATATCATTTTGATTGTGGGTTGCGGCCTCTATATATAATCCATCTAGCCTTTCCCCCCACTTATAGCCAAGAACGATGAAGTGGTAGATGAAAGTTTGAGGATGATAATGAACAAGGTTAGTAGATAGTCAATGAACACATATGTATTACTGCGTTTTTATGTTACGTTTTGTTGTTTAATATTATTTGCAATTTTTGCTCCCACTCCACAGTATTCCGAGACTTTTCTCAACACCAACGCCACAAAAAATTGCTCTCAAATCAACACCAATAAATGAATATCATGACCGAATATCCTATCTCCGTCAACTAAAGAAACAGCAACTTATTTCCCTTAGGTAAATACCTGCTTAACGTGCTCAATAAAAGAACTTGGGGCTGATCATTGGTTATCACCTTCATCTAGTAACGACAGAGAATCAATTCACCTTTCGGTGATCACAGCAGAACAGGTGCTCGCAGAGTCTAAAATCCCATGGGAACGATCATAAAGTTATACATGTCCCGTGTAAAGATGACAAGGAAAAAACAAAGAGAAGGAAAAAGAGGAGGAAGAGTAAAAAGCGACGAGATGCTGAGAAGCGGCATACGGGTCTTCATAATATCATTCATAACCTCGACTCTATTGACCCCCGATCTGAGTACACGTTGTCGAGCTTGTTTACGATAATGTTAAAAGTAACAGTTTTATCAACATATAATCAGTTAATTCAATATGGACAACAAACCAATGCAACCGAAAGACAAATTAGAACAAGTTCCTCATACCAGACATCTTCTCGTCATTCGTCTCGGTCATCCCGTCGACGTCGACGATCGTCCTGTCGTCGCTCTCAGGAGACACTGGCTCAACGATTCGCACTGAGAACACGTGCGATTCTGTAAGCGAGACAACTGTAGTGAAGTGGTTTCTTCGTCCATTATTCTGATCGTTACGTACACTTTCTTCGGGACTGTTTGGAGAACCAATGGCATAAGTTGCCATATGAATTATCTCTTCTAAGTTTCTCGCTTTCGTACTCGTCTTCTTTCAGTTTGGGAATATTCCTCTATTTTTTTTTTTCGGAGTCTGTTGCTTTATCAGTTCGGACTTCTTGGACGAGTACCTTACGAATTATCACAATGCATTTTATCTGGTGTCTGGTGTATATAAATTCGATTTCTAGCCAGAAGTTATGGAATTATAGATTACATGGTTCATACTACAAATGGAATCAGCATCAGAGGATAAGTTGGAATATTGTAATAAATTCAAGTTTGCAATTGCAGCATAGGCTAAACTGAAGACATTTTGTATAGATTCGTTTCGCTGCGTCGTCAGCCTTCCATTCGATCTGTTTATTTTCTCGTTATTTCCTACGGAATACGGTGGGATATTGTAATGATTCAATTAATAAATGAGTCTAGCCATCGTAATGAATGTCAGGTCGAGACTGCGTATTTTCAATTCGTACATTTATCGTATTGTACGTGCGGAATAGGCACGTATTATATAATATTTGTTTCAGCTTATTTACATAAGTATGTTGCTTAGTGTCCATGCGCATATTTCGAATTATTGGATTACCGTCAGTACGTTTTATCTCATGTAAAGTTTTCTACCAACGAATCTTTCTCCTAAAGAACAGAATAACGTCTACAAAAGCAAAGGTAAATTCAACAATATTTCTATGGGATGTTTATTTTGTCGAGCCAACCTACTTTCCATCGTAAATTCGCAACGAATTCTTGCAAAATGCACAAATAAAGCACATACATAAGCACATATAAAACAAAGCATAAACACTCATAAACATACTTCTAGAAACTTGGGAATGAAATATTAAAAATTTCATTATGTCCTATCAAACTTTACGTATGACATGTGATAATCGCTTGATTTCCCTATTCTAATATGGGTTGTTCACTATTAGTCCCCAAGCGAAGGCAATGAATTAATAATGACATATAAAGCGAATTTGACTCAATACCTGTCAAACGAGTTCAAGCGTTTGTATGAAGAACCATTCAATACGGATGTTACTGTTCAAGTTGGAGAAGAAGGACACTCGAAGATCTTCCAAGCACACTGGTTGATTTTATGCGCACGTTC